TGGATGACTTGTTTCTACAGGCTTGATATTTGAGAATTATGTCTATCTTTCTTTTCTTTATTTTTATTTTTTTTCTAATCAATTCATCGAAAGTTCAGTTAATTTGGTTTGAGCATTATGGAATCCATTTCCTCTATCATTATGACACTTGCACTCGAAGAGAGAGAGAGAGAGAGAGAGAGAGAGAGAGAGTTGTTCATTTTGAAAAAAAATTAAAGTGATCCGAAACCTTCATGGTTCTTATATTCAAGGGCTGTTACGTGGGAGAAATTTTTTCTCTCTCTTTCTCCTCTGCCTCATCGATTGAAATGTGCTCCGAAAGCGCTATAAAATTTCTCTTCATTTTGGCAAAAATATCACTATATATGTGTAGTCCAAAATTGAGGTGGGAGCTTATTACTATAGGTAGAAACCTATAAATCATCAGGAGTCCATGATTGTCAATTAGCTAAAGGTTCAACTCATATTTTCCCAATGCGTTACATGAAATGAATGAGACTTTACTTTATTTTGTTCTATGAGAAAATCCATCTAAAAGATTGTAGGTAATTAACAATAAATTTGACTATTTTTCCTTCTAATCTAAGAAAATAAGATCATGAAGAGGTATGAAAAGGCTAGATACACACCTAAGATATGTGTGAAATTCATTTTCCTTAGATGCGTATTCTTCCCAGACATTCAACATTGGACTGCTGAAAAGGCGGTTTCTTTTACTTCATTTATGTTTCTTTGGGAATACAAGATTAAATTCAAGGGCAGCTACTAGATCATTCACCTTTGTAGTTCTTGACATTTATGTCATTGTTGGGATATTCTTCAAGTGAGTGTGATGAGTCTCACATTGGCCACTTGCTACGGTTGGTAGTCTTAGCTCATTCGTGGTTGGTGGCCCCCGTCTTGGTAGTCTTAGCTCATTCGTGGTTGGTGGCCCCCGTCACGGGCTTCTCCCTGGACCCGCCTTACATTGGTATCAAAGTCTCGTGTCCTAGGTTCGATCCTCGTCGCCCCGACTTTCTCTTGTGAAATTTCTTAGCACAGGTAGGTTGAGCCTATTGCAATATCCACGCTTCTAGCCCAATGGGCTTTCGTGTGAGGGAGCGTGTTGAGATATATAGTCCCACATTGATTGTATGTGCAACTAATGTGCCAATGTGGAGTTTATAAGACCTTGGGTACTCCCACCACTTATATACTCTTCACTTAGCCCATTACCAACCAATGTGGGACTCATCACACTTGAGTATCCCAACAATCTCCCCCTCAAGTGTGAAACCCACCATTGGTATGCTTCCCCTCAACCGAGTACCTCAAGCGCAAAGTACTTGACCCGCCTCCTAGCCAATCACTATGTTAGCTCGAGCCCAACCTGGCTCTGATACCATGTAAAGAATCTTGGGATTGGAAAGTCAGCTTCCGACCCTAAAATAATTGTTTATGTCTATTTATTTTCCATGAAAAGTTTCGTCTAATTTTCTTCATGTTTTATGTTGAGTTTCCTTGCGCATTCAACAAAGACTGCCCCAAGGAAGATGCTAAGGCTCCATCCAGTCAAGAAAAAAAAAATACATGATATTTGGAAGAAGAAAAAAACATGTTACTGTATGTTTCGTACACATGAATTAAACTTTTTGTTTTTGACCAACCATTTCAATCCAATACCTTAAGGTTCATGCAAAAATGCTTTGGACTTAAAGTGTGGATATTGCAAAGGTTCAAGTTTTGGTTTATCTTGTGCTTACTTAGTTCCATTAGAAAGTGGGGCGGTAAAGATCAAACTCGTGACCTTAAGGCATATTTGGTGCATAATATAGGATACGGTTTGATAGTATAAGACCTGATTAGATTTTAATACTATCCATCATTTGACATAATATTGTATAAGATAATATGATTCAATATTTGGTAATATATTACATAATACTAGATAGGATAAAAAAAAAAAAATTTTAACGAAAAATACCCTTTAATAAAGAATTTATAATTCTTCCAAATATGACATCATATGATATTATATTTTATAAAATTCTATTGATCAGTGTGTCCAAAGAATATATTAATTTTTATAAAAATAAAAATCTACAATATTTTAAAAATTAATATATTGAATTTTTTATTTTATTTTATTATATTAATATTAAAATAATATATTAATTTTTGAGAATTGCATCAGTTATCCATGTTAATACATTAACTTTTATTAGGCCTAATCTCACACCCTTTAGTTTTGATTAAGGGGGTGGTTGGATTAGAATTTTAAAAGACTTTTTTGAGATAAAATATCTTATAGATTTTAAAAGACTATTTAGAAATGGAGGGACTTTAAAGACTTTTTTAACAATCAAGATTTCATAAGATTGAATTTTAAAGGATTTTAATAGAATTTAAGATTTGAAAGGACAATACGGATTTATAAGATTTTAAAAAATCATATAAATTTTTAACAAACATTCAAACCTACAAGAGTCAATAAAAAAGGGGGAAGGTTATACTTACAAGTTACAACCTATTTTTGTTTGCAACCTTTTACAACCATATCTTAACCATTGATTTTCGCAATCAACGGTTATCATTCATTACAAATTAAATATTAATTAACGAGTTTGATTTGCGAAAATAATAAGCATTGATTGACGGAAATCAACGGTTAAGATATGGTTGTAAAAAGTTGTAAACAAAAATAGGTTATAAGTGTAACATTCCCTATAAAAAACAAAGAAATGCAATGAAATTAATAAAAAAAAAAGTAAAACCTAATATAATTTTATCAATCAGAGAAACATAATATAATTTTTAACAAACATTCAAAATTACTAAATAACAGCTTTTTACATATCTAAAGTTATACTAGTCCTCCATGCATTAGGATTTTCTCGTTCCCGCTCTTGGGTTTCACCAATGGGTTAAAAATTATCTTCTTCATTTGGTATCAAAGCTATGCATATATGATTATAAGACTCAATTTTTTTTAAATGTTAAAATAATTCTAAATTTGCATATAGAACCTAAAGTTCATTCTAAATTTGCATATAGAATCTAAAATATTGAATTTTTTTGGAATTGATATTGAAAACCTTTGGACTTTTGTTCTACGTGATGAGAGTTTTCTAACCATATATCAAATGCATATTTTTATTGAATATTTTAAAAAAATTCTCAAATTTTTTTCAATCGATACATTGAAACCTTAAATTGCTTTTGGACTTTTGAAAAATAAGTTTTTAGTTATCTATTAACACAAAAATTGTTTGAAATCGTTTCTTATAGTGAAAGAATTTCATTTATAAATGTATTGTTACGAAATATAGTGTTTATATTATGAAAGTTTCAATATTTCTTTAAACTGATATTGTTTCATTGATGTAAAACGAAAATTGGTTTGAGGGTTTTAGTTCCCCTGTTATTTTTCCATTGTTTTATGTTGTTTTTAATACAAAAATCACACATTTTTGTGCTAAGAAAAATTGCGACCCATAACTTAAAGAATCACTTTTTAAACTTCTAAAATATCTCAAAAATGGCTCAAAAATATGTTTTTTTGAGTTTGACGAGATTCCCATGGCTAAGGAAAAGAATATGTTTTTCGAGCGGGTCAACCTGTCAAAGGAAGAACAAAGCACTACAATAGAGAAATCTCAAGAAATCCTAGGGGTTAGGGTGAGATTGTGGGAGAGGCATACTATTTATATTTTTTATTAAAAAGTCTCACGAAATCCATACCAATAGAAAATTCATTAAAATCGTTAGATTTTTGAATACCATAAGATTATTTTTTCATTGTTTAAAATCTTGATTGAATACCAACGGATTTGGATGAACTTTAAAATAATCTTTTAAAATCCTAATCGAATACCACGTGACTTTTTTTCAATCCATTAAAATCCTAATTGAATACCAACAGATTTTTTTGTCCAAAAATAATCCATTAAAATCCTTTGAAATCTCAATCCAATACACCCCTTTAAGTTATTTATCATTTTGATGTATTAAGAGACTCGGTTGTATAAGCTTATATTATACAACGGTTACATCAAGGGCCTGTTTGGTGTCATGTATAAGGCTTGATAATATAAGTGTATACCATACGTTATGACATTTTCAGTTGTTTGATGTGACCATCATATAGTATAGGCTTATATAGCAGAACTCCTTAAATACATCAAAGTGATGTATAACTTAATCAGGCATAAGGGAGTGCGATTAGACTCAATAAGGGATTGATGTATAATATTGCTTACAAGTACAATTTTCAAGAACTAATATATTATTTCAATATTAATATATTAGAATAATTTTTTTAATATATTAATTTTTAAAATATTGGATGATATTATCTGAAACAATATCATACCAAACACTGAATAATATTAAAATTTAATCAGGTTTTATACAATCAGGTCTTATGCTATCAGGCCTTATCCTATACTATTCACCAAACATGCCCAAAACAACTAAAAATGTCATAACATATAGTATAACTTATACTATCAAGCTTTATACATCACGTCTAACAGGCCCTTATGGTCATTGAAACTTTGATACCATTTAATAATTTATATTATTCTCTAACAGTAATTCCAAGAAATTAAAGTATTTCTAAAAAAAAAAAAAAATTCGCTTAAAAATAATTAATTTTTTTTTTTGTTTCCAGAATATTTTTCACCTGCGAGAGATTAATTTCTCGAGCCGAAGCTGTTTTTTTATGAGATGCAGATCAGAAGTAAAATGGCAGATATTAGTTTTTGAGAAAGTAAAAGTTTTATTTGTTTTTTAATAAATTACAAATATTAATCACATTAATTATTTTTAAAAAATTATTATTATTTCTTAAAAATTAATATCAGTTACATTTGTTGTTTTTATTTACATTTTTGAATATTATTGTATGTAATTTTAAATTTGGTATGAAATTCTGCAAAAATAAATAAAAATAAAAATAAAAAGTCCAAAGTCAAAAGGGGTTTAGGAGGTTTTAAGCGAGCATCTATTGTTCAAAGGGAACCTAGCGACGCCGACGCAGCCACCGTCTCTTGTACTTCAACCCAATGTCCACGCCAACGCCTCCGAAGCAACCTCCAGAGGAGCAATCCGATGCCGAACCAGAAGGCAATGTTCCTCCGGATCAACCAGGTTCGGAGTCACCCGAAGCAGAAGCAGAAGCTGAGGCAGAAGAAGAGGAAGAGGAGGGAGAGTGCGGGTTTTGTTTGTTCATGAAACAGGGTGGATGCAGAGACGCGTTCATCGATTGGGAGAATTGCGTGAAGGAAGCGGAGAATAACAAAGAGGATTTGGTGGAAAAGTGTGCTAAGATCACCGCGGAGTTGAAGCTGTGTATGGATGCGCATTCCGATTACTACGAACCCATCCTCAGAGCCGAGAAGATGGCCGAGCAACAAGCCATTCAAGAATTGGAGAATGAAAAGCTAAAGGAGGAAGTGCCTTCTGATTCTAATCAAAAGTGAGATCCAATTTCAATGCTTCTTCTTTTTTTTATATATAATTTATTGTTATAGTTGTCGCGTCAACGCGAATAGAACACTTTAGAGGCTATGTATGATTGCCACTGACAAGAGTGTGAGATAGAATATGTAATCTCATTTTTTTTGTCTCAATAATTGGAATGATGAATATTTTCTTACTTGAATTCGCAGCTTTAATCTGTTCAATTGATAACTTGTTTTTCTTTTTTCTTTTTTAATGATATGGTTGTGTTATGCTGTTGCACATTTGACACATCATTGTTAAGAATCTCTAATGAGGAAAATGAATATATGAATCTCTATGTTTTTGCCTCTATTTTGATTGTTTCTGATTAATGAGTTTACATGGTAATTGCATCTTGATTGTTCTCTTGGTAACAAGCAATGAGGAAATTAATTAGTAGAGGCTTCAATTCATAGTAAGAACTAAGAAGCTGTTTGATCTTACTAACTAAATAATAACTCGAGTCTACTTCTGGTCCTTCCTTCCTTCCTTCTCTGTTCTCTCCCTATACTAGTAGTCCAGAACGCAAGCAATTCATCAAAGGAGTTTTTTGAATTTTATAGCTATATAGTCTGATCCACTCGAGGATAGTTAATATTCAGTTACTCAATGTTAGTGAAGGGGTGCCGGGATGCTGACACCGGGTTTGCTGCAGTGTCTTAAAACCCCGTTCTACCCCGGGGTCGACCCCACCGAGTCACTGACCCCCTCTCTCTTAGGGTTGGGTCAACAGTTAGACTGTGTATGCACGTTGACCCCTGAGGTCGACCCCACCGGGTCACTGTCCCCCTCTCTCTGAGGGTTGAGGTCAACAGTTAGACTCTGTATGCACGTTGATCCCTCTGACCCCTGAAAACCCCCTGTTGAACCCGTGACTCCCAGGTCAAAGGGGGTTAGTGTATTTTCTTTTTAAAAAAAAAATTACACACAAAAAGACGTTGTTTGGTGTGTAAAAAAAAAATCGTTGCTGCCTAGATCTAGAACTAGATTTGAAACCTGAAACATTCTTCTGCTTCTCTTCCTATCTTCTCTCCCATATCCAGACCCAGACTCAGTCTCCCTGATCTGGTTATCTCCGATCCTCTTCGGTCTTCTCTCTCCCTCTCCTTTGCCGTGCCGGTTCTTCTCTCCCCACCATTGATTCGTCGTGCCACTGCCTCTCCTCCGCTGTTCTCTCTTGGGTAAGAGATCTCCTTTCACATGCTATTGTAGGTGCGTGGTGAGAAGGACAATAAGGGCTTGAGTTTGATGATATAATTTTTCATTAACTCCATTGAAATATGTGTTTTATACTTTGATAGTTTGATACTTTGATTAACTTGTGTAATATTGACTTGTGGATGTAATTGATTGAATTATGTTAAGTATATTTTAAAAATCTTTGATGATTGGTGGTTTGATTTTTTTTAATATATAAAATTGAGTCAACGAAGTGACCCCATTACCCCTAACCTCGGCCGAGTTGATGGTCGAGCCGAGTTTTTAAACACTGATTTGCTGCTTGATGCTTCTGTTATACTTTATGATGGGAATATGCTACTATTGAGTTGCAGAAATTAAGTGCTAGAGTTAATAGTGAATAATAAATGAGGAATAGCTTGATTTCCAGGTTCTTGATTGGATATATATTCAACAGCTGTTTTATGCAGATTTTGAGAGTTCCGGCATCCACACTTAAACTCTACATTTCAGTAAGACTTCCATTTGAAATAAATAGGTTGGCTTTGATTAAATAATTGTTAATGCCATAACTTGGCCGTGTTATGATCTGTGAGGGAATGAAGGTTTTGTCATTAGTCATTGATATAATATTAGGAGAAATTTCTATGATCAATAGATAACATTTGAGGTACTGACATTTTTAGAAGTGGATGAACTATGAAGTTTTGAGGCTTGAATATTTCAATCATGGATTTGTTTTTCTCTAGTGACATTCTGTCATCCTTCTGTTCTTTCATGTAATGCTGAGAATTCATTTGAGGTGCTGACATGGTTAGAAGTGGATGAAATATTAAGTGTTGAAGCTTGAATACTTAAAACACGGACATGCTTAATTGATATTCAGTTTCAAGTGATAGCAAGAAATAAATGTAACACTTAAAAGAGATACCCAATTTAAACATTCTTTATTCAACCTTTTATTATCATCACAACCTCGCTTTTGGGTGTTTTTCAAAACTTGCAATGAGCTAGACACACGCACACACACGAAAATTAGAATTGTGGCAATTAACGGATAAATCAAATGAACTTTGCAAATGAGATTTCTACGAATGATGCATGGAATACTATCTTGTGATGCATTAGGTAAAGAAAAATGATTATGCTCAGAGCATTAAATTATGGTCTGCGACTGTAATTGTTACTGCAATTTTGAGATTTTGGGAGTCACTGCTCTCGCATTAAGTCCTGATTAAAATCTTGATGTTAATCATTGGTTGTTTATGGAGATAGTAGAAATGATTATATGTGCCCCACGCTATGATGATGATGATGATGACTGAAGAAGCAATGGTACAAGGCAAGGCTCTATGGAGTCACTGTGTTAGTCTCAGGCAAGTTGAGGGTCAAGGAGGAGGTGAATAGGGCATGATTATGGCTAGGGATGAATTTGGTAGGGTTTTTGCAAGGTGAGAGATGGAGAAGATGATTCTTCTTCAGGAGACTTGATCTCATATTTATAGGATGGAAGAGATTCTTTTTTTAGTATGGGAAATGTGATGTTATAATCATTTTCAACTTTGTGGGCCCACAATGGCATAAGGTTACATGACCCTTGACATGTCCATGCGTGTGCATGAGATATGTGAGAGGTACACGTAACTGAGGGATCAAGTACCCTCAGGTGTGACGATCGGACAAGGCCTTTCGACCGGTCTCAAACAACAAGAAAAAAAGGTAAACTTGAAATTTAGAACTGCCTGCAACCAGGCAAATCTCAGCAAGACATGAAGGACCTGAGTAGTTTTAATTTGTCAGCAGTTTTCCAAATTAAAAAACCTGGAGAAACAAAACATCAATCACTAGTAGTAAATCATACTTGAAATTTCTGACTACAATTTCCCCCTTTATGCTGTTAATTACATACCATAGCTACAAAGTGTCTATTTGGGAGGGGTTTTTTTAGTCACTGAAACTAGGCTAAACAATTTTTTACAAAATCTCTTATAATAAAAAAAATTCTAATGAAAAAAAAAATCAAAAGTCAAAAGCTCTTAGAAAGAGTTATTTTTTTTTAAGTTGTGTCAACTTTTTTTTTTTTTAATGAACAACTTTTAAGTAATTTTTAAACTAAAATTTTTATATAATTATCTAACCGTTTTAGTTTTATTTTAAAAAATTTATTTTTTAACTTTTATCTTCTTTTTTTTTAAAAACAATTTTTATCTTTTAAAAAAAAAAAAGGTTCTTAACCATTGATTCTTGGAATGCCTTTGCAAAAGGCCCCAGTCTATTACAAGGTCCCAATACGTAGAAGCAACAGCAGCAGATACTGAGAAAACCGAGGCCAGCACTTTCCATCCCATTCCATTGTCAAGTCAAGAGTATAAGCTGTTCTTACTTCTTAGGCAAACATCTGCAATTGTGAGGAAATATTTCAGCCCGTTATACCCTTGCATTGGATTTTTCTCTTCCAACAGGCGCCCGAGACACTGAAAAGATACTGAAGATTTTATTTTAAGAGTTAAAGTTTTATCCATACAGGTGACTTCAGAAGAAAGATGCATAAATAAGGATAACAGTCTCTCTCTTTTTTTGTTTGAAGGATAACAGTCTTTTAATGAACCAACATATATATATATATATATATATATATATATATATATATATATATATATATATATAATATTAAATAATTCCATATCTTCTTAATAAGTCACCCTAATAATCCTCTTAATTATCAAAAGAATAAAAGGGAAATATATTGTGACAACCAAGTTGTGTTACTACCAAGTGACTACCAATTAATCTCACCGTTAGATCGATTATGTTGATCCAACGGTTATATTTATTTCCATCTTTGTATGTTCATGGTTTTCTAAATTTAATACTTTATATTTATTTTCACCTTTGTATGGTTATGATTTCCCATATTTAATGCTTTCACTTTAAATATGGGAAATCATAACCATAGAAAGATGAAAATAAATATAATCGTTGGATCAACATAATCAATCTAACGGTGAGATTAATTGATAATCACTTCGTAATAACACAACTTGGTTGTCACAATATTCTTCCTCAAGAATAAATTATATAATATTTTTTGGGTCTCCAAACATGATAAGTACATGCAATTTCAAACCGAGCAACACTAATTATTATCTTTAGAGCTGTTAAAATTGATCAGCTCGTCCAATTAGGTCTCAGCTCATGGGTATTGGGGCAAAAAGACCCATAATAATAAAAGCTTGCACGGGTCAAAACCCTAAAAGTTTGGGCCAACTTGTGGGTTATTTATAATTATATTTCTTTTATCAAATTCAATGCATTTAAAATTATATTAACAAATAAATATTTAACATTTTGGTAAAATATTGTATATACAATATTAATTTCTCATAATTTAAATTTTTAATGAAAAAATATTTGCATACAAATATACAAGTGAAATGTAAGCAAAATTTTAATTATTTTCCTAATAATCCTCGAAGGTTCTATATCAAAAATATTAAAGTTCTAGCTTCTTATTATATCTTGGAATATTGACATTTATTAGGGCAATACTTCTCTCATTTAACATGAGAGAAAAAAATTTTCCCCGTACTAACAAGAAATATGGAGCCCACAAGCTAAAAAAAAAAAAAAAAATGTAGGCATGTGTTTCTATGTCTATGTGACATAAGATTGTTATCTCTTACAGTTGGAGAAAATAATTTCCCTATTTACTATTAAATAATACTTACAAAGAAGATTTTTATTGTTCAGTAAAAATTTTAATATAGGTTAAAGTTTTAACGGTTTGATTTTTCAGTAAAAATCAATTAAACAAGATTTTGTAGCCCTCTCAACTTTTTTGCTGCAACAAATCAAATAATGTCTTAGAACGGAATGGAGAAAATCTATAAATATGGTGGAGGGTTAGACCCGTTGTTATTCCTATGTTCTAGATGGTCCTTTTTTAGTCTTTTTCCCCTTCATCTCCCTCACTTCTTCTTGTCCCTTTCTTTTTTACTTTTATTTTATTTATATATACATATCTATATACATATATATTTTATTTTATTTTATTTTATTTTTATTTTTTCAACTGTTTTGTATCTTTCATGTGGATTTATCTACCACCGACCCTAATTAATTTGGGATAAAGGTAATGTTGATGTTGATGTTTTTATAATTTTAACATTTTGAAAAGTATGAATGGATGTTCATAACTATAGAGTTATTTTGTGTTGCTATACAATAGTTAGCAATTAATTGATTTTTTCTTAATAAAATTTGTCAATAAAATTATGACCATTAGCTTATTAAATTTAGGGGTGACAATTCTGGTTTACACGACTAGGGGTGGCAAAAACGAGTCAACCCGTCGGGTTGGCTCGTAACCTGGCACAAATAAGCCGGGTTGGATTGGCATAAATGAGCTGCGAGCCAACCCGACCTGGATCCAAACGAGCTAGCTCGCAGGTTAAACGGGTCAGCTCGCGAGTTGGGAATTTTTTTTTATTATTAAAAATAGTAATATCATTGTGTAGCTGATTTCTTTATTCACCAAAGTGACATCTGAACAATGTCCATCCTGCAACTGGTCCAATGGTTCTTCTCCCTTCTTGTCTTCATTGTCATCCCTAGCACCCAAAAAGCTAGGTTGATTTGTTGAAGATAAAAGCCTAGCCCACATTCTATCAGTTATAACTACATGGTTCTGTCTCTCGGTGATTCTCTGCATAACAATGCAACAAAACATCCGAGAGTTAGCAAAAAATCCCATATATTCTGCAGAACCAACAAATATCATGCCTAATTAACTTACATAAAAGGGTATATAAGTTTGTCTTCCATTGACAAGTCCACTTGTATAGCCAGTATATCCTGCCATTGCTCCATGAACAGCACTTTGAGCAAGAAGGGTGCAGTACACATTGTCAGAAGCATTGCTTGGAACAGCTCGGATCATATAGGTTGGATCTGTAAAACAGAAAAGAAAAGGCAATACTCTTTCAGCCATTGCTCCTTTCAGTTTGTGTGTGTGTGTACAGATACAATTCTATAAAGTTTAATCTTTACAAACCTATATATTTGAGAGTTATGACCAATGTCTTCTTCTCTTTAGCAAAAGAATCCTGGAAGATGAAAATGAAAATATCTTTATAACCATTTGTCAGTTGTGAAAAAATTGACAGAATAAAATACAACACAAGTTATGGCTGTATACTTTTGTGCATTTATATAATTAAGTGAACTAAATGCGCTTGAATGTTGTCAAACAGTCATGGGTATTTTGCTTGTATATTTCCTTGTTTTGTGTACGAGTTATATTTATATTATTTATATAACTCACACTGTGTTTGTCTACTGCTATGTTGGTATTTCTTAATTTATTGATTGTGTTTTATTAGTTACTGTGTTTACACCATTATTCATCAGGCAATCAATAGCTTTGGCAGTGTTGATAATTTTGTGCAGTGTTGAAGAACAAATAAGATTGTTCCATAAAAATCAATTTTTTTGAGCCAACTTGCGAGCCAATCCACTGGCAATATTTCGAACTAACCAACTCGCGAGCCAACTCACTGACATCATTTTGAGCTAACCTGCGAAGTTTTTTTGAGCCAACCCGCGAGCTTTTTTTCGAGCCAACCCGCGAGTCAACCCTAACCCAGCTCGGGTCGAGTTGGGTTGAATTTTCTGGCTTGTTTTTTTTTTCGAGCCAACCCTAACCCGATCCGTTTTTTCGGGTTGAGTGCGGGTGCATCAGGTTAATGTTGTAATTATCTTTAATTATTAGTTTACTTTATCTTATTAGGATTTGGATTTATCCTTTTAAGTCCATTAGTCTCTATATATTGTAACATATTATACGTGTTCAATACACAATTTTATCAACTGTAAGTGTATTATTATTATTATTATTATTATTACAAAATTTCAAATTGAAGTTACGCTTCCTAACTTCTATTAACAGTGTATTTTATTTCTCATTAAAACTTTAACATTATAATTTGGGACTAATTTAATGTTGAAATCCAATAAGATCTGTCCAAGATCCAGGATTGGTGGACCCAGGTTTAGAACAGGTTGAAAAGTGGTATATAGTGCAATCTTCAGCCACACTATTTTGCATTTGAATTAGTGAAGAAATCGAATTTATCACTCAAAAGTAACAACAGCACGCAAGAACGCCGTCGAATATTTGCAGTTACAAAGTTGAATACGCATGAAAATGTTATTGTTCTGTGCTTGCTATTCCTGCCAAATCACTCATCCTTATCTTCACCTTCATCGTAGTTGAAGGGTAGTGGCACAGACTTGAATGCACGGTACTTGCCAACATTGTTCAAATGCTCATTCTCCACTCTGAACAACATAATTGTACGAATTAATTAATACATATTTCAAATGAACTTTTAAAATAAAGTTTCTCGAAATGACACATGAAATATTTTGGCACTTGGTGCATACACAAACAGAACTACAGAAAAACAATATTTTCCCTTGGTTTACCTAAAGAAGTTCCATATGCCACGACGAATGATCTCTAAGCTGGCAATAATGCTGACCATGGCTTGTTTATGCAGAAAGGAAAAATTAAAATTCAATACTGTCTGTAACCATGCAAACCTTAACAAGACATTCAGCACCTGCATGTATATGGTTTGTCACATATCAGCAACCTTTACAAACAAAACAGAAGCAAAAGTTCAACGTAAACATACTAGAAAATTTTCCTAGTACGATACATACCATAGCTGAGAAATATACACTTTTGTGAGGGATTAGGAGTTTATCTCTGAGCCAGCGATTCTTGGAATGTCTTTGTAGAAGGCCCCAATCTATGACAAGGTCCCAATAGGTGGAAACAATAGCTGTAGATATTGAGAACACCCAAGCAAGCACTTTCCAACCAATTGCCTCATCAAGACTATAAGCTGTTCTTAGGCAAACAGCTGCAATAGTGAGGAAATATTTCAACCCGTTATATCCTTGCATTGTATCTTTCTCCTCAAACATGCGCCTTAGGCACTGACAAGAGAAAGAGGAATATCATTTTGCAGTCTCAGTCATTTCTTAATCAAGACTAGGCATATTTACTCTCTTCATTCTTGTTTTTTTGGAGAAAAATGGAATGAAGTTAGTGTTCTGGACCAGCCTCATGGTCCTGTTTTATGGGTTGGTCCTTAGATAACCGTTGAGATATATAAAATTATTAATGTAGCATCATCCAAAAGCTTAAGCTCTTGGGTTGAATTGGTTCTTTACATGGTATCAGAGCCTCGTGTTGCGGGTTCGATCCTCGTCGCCCCTCACTTTTTCTAGTGGAATTTCTTTATTCGCACAGGTAGGTGGGTCTGTGCATCGTCTACTCTTCAAGCCCAGTCGGCTCTCGTGTGAGGGGGCGTGTTGAGATATATAAAACCATTAATGTAGCCTCACCCAACAGCTTAAGCTTTTGGGTTGAATTAGTTCTTTACAATAATCATTTAAGAGATCACTTCCTGCATCCCAAAGTGAGACTTTTAAACCCTCGCCCTAGAGGATTTCTCACCCACTGTATAGCTCATCCGTTGCACATTGGAGGTGCGTTACCTCATGCACAACAATGAGGACACTAGGCAAAAACGGTTATGGCTCTCTCTCATTTATAGGGAATATTTTCCCACCTATATATATATATATATATATATATATATATATATATCCCTTTCACCTATTGAAGGGGCATCTTGCATTCATCACATTTATGAGTTGTTGTTCTGCCAAAATATATAGTCAACCGTGTGTCTCTTAGCCATCTCTGAGATGACTCCTTAAAAGAGTTTTGGTCCATACCATTGCCTCTAGGATCACCAATATAGCAAGATGCTTTACCCTCTCCAGGATACAAACCTAAGCTCACCACACTATCAGTTCAGTTAGGTACCTGAAGAAAACGAGACCAGAATGGAATCACAACAACAATGAATGAAAAAGTTAAGAATATCCTGCTTGACTGGCAAGTGCTTTGTCGTTGTTTGAAGTCACCCCAACCATAGTAGCATATGTAGAACACAAAACTTCTTAAGGCTTGTCCCTGAATGAGTAAAAAGGTTCATTGTGTTTCAACGATTACTGAAGGGACAAAGAGCAGAAAAGCAATGACAAGCGAAATAGAAGAGCAAAGTATAATCCCATTTTGCTTTTCACAAACCTGGCTAGTAAATTGATCTACCAAGAAAAAATCTGGCAGTGTGACCTGATAACATTTAAAATGAAAGTGTTAGATTTCCAATGAAAATTGGAGTCCAAATAAGTGGTGTCCTTTGCTGACCTATGTTAGCTACAATTTTTCTTTACCTTGTAGAGAGGAGCACAGATGCAGTGAAACAGACATGTGAGGAAGTACATTCGGCTAGATCGATATATGATGTTTAATGGGCATAATAAAATAGCAATCACAATCTGCAAAGTAAAAATGAATTCATCATTTAATCTTAGAAATAAAACTTAATGACATGGTCTGTGAAAACTGAAATGTAATAGCCTTACAAGAACCAGGATCAGTGGCATAAGTTCAGTGAATGCTTTGTAATCTTTTGTCACTGGATCTATTTGCATGTCTAGGTTTGCAAGCACACTTGCTAGTGCCAATGTTGCAAGGACAAAACTAAGGTGAAGGATTTGATGATATCCTAACTCAGTGCCTTGCTTTAAACCAAATATGAATGAGTGGTTCACTCTGTATCGCCTCCAGAAGTATATATTTGCAGCATACATCAGCATGTGTAGAACTACAAATCCAAACAAACTGCAGAGTTTGAAATGGAAAGTTAGTTGCATTTTTCGGCTTCTTTCTTAGATCATCTCTAGTCCAAGCTTTTATTGATGTAGGAGGTTTAGGATTTAAGAGACAGGCAAGACATCTATTTCAAAATTTGCAAATAAAGTTACCTGTAAAGAGGAAACATGATTTCCATGTACTGGCTACTTCCTGAATGATCCATGATTTTATGGGTTCGAACGATCATAATAAGGGCTAAGGTTAGAGCTGCAGCACATCCAGCAAAGAAACCTGAAAAGTTTATCAAGATACAAAGAGAGTCAGGGAAAGACTATGTGTTATATTAAATATATATGCTATATTCAATCTTTGTTTACCCATGGAAAATGTAACCCTATGCCTTTCTCTCTTTGTTTTTGGTCTCAGGATGCTCATTCCTTTATTTCGATTTGAGTTGGAAAAGTGCTTAATGAATACTTTTTCCACCCTCTCCATAAGCCTAGTGACCTGCAGGGGAAAGTGATTCATAAGGAAAATTTAGCAATTGAAATCATTTCATATGACTTGAAAATGATGATGCTATTGCTTAGGTCCATACTACAGAATTCTCACTTCATCAGAGCTTCCAAGGTTGGACTTGTCAACCATTTTCATGTAAGCTTTTGCTGCACCTCTTGATGTGATCTGAAGCATAAAGCAAAACAAGGTGAATGGGCAATTTTGTTTCATTTGATCTCCAGTTTGCTTCAGATACTATTAGAAAAAACCTGTGTAGCAACGGAATTTCAATAAAATTTTCCTCGCAAAATTCGTGGCTAATTCGATTTCCCTAGCAAACTCCGTCGCAAACCTCGTTTGCGAGGGAATCTGCTACAGAAAATAGTTGCGAGAATGAAATTAGTGAGGGAAATTCCATAGCAATTCCGTAGTTTTTTCTAGTAGATAATTTTTGAAGGTTGAAGAATACCTTATCATATTTCTTCATTATCTTTGAAAATGCCAATATGTTTAGAAAGCTGTTTCATGAATTACAAATTTATAAGAAATATGAAGGCAATATTCTTATTGATGTAAAAGAAAAGATTATTTATGGTAGCATCTACTGCCTGTATTTCTTCAGAAGTTGAAGCTTGTAATAGAATTCAACAAAAGCCCGTTTAAGTTTTTCTTCAACTTTGCTCAAATTTTCCTTAGTGAATTTTAACTCTGTTGGGGATTGGATAAACCCTTTTATAGTTGAACGAGGAGTCTCACAAGTGTTATTCAATTGCACTCGATTAAGTACTTCCAAGGGAGCTGGTTTGATGCCTTCAAAATTCTTCTTTGTCTTGTGTACTTCAATTCTTTTGTTGGTAGTTTGATTCTCATCACCTTTGTCATCGCCAGAATCATCTAATTGTCCATGGTGGGTACTGCTATCCTCTTTGATTTCTTCAATTACCATGGAAACTCTTCCTGTTCATGAAGCAGAAAAACGACTAAACATGTGGTGTCTAAACTTCTCTAATACTCAGTTCAAACATTAGAATTGAGTTTACTCAGGATAATTAAATTTTCAAATTTCAATTTGACTCCATCTTTTCTGGTTAATTACTAATCATTCATTCAACATAGATCTTCTGAAAGTCTAAGCAATTAGACAAGATCAACCAGCATTATTTTTATTTCAGCCCCACACAAAAGCCACCACATGACCATGAAGAACCTAATATAACATGAAAAATAAAAACAAAAGCTTAAGCTGTAAGATGATGAGGCCCATGAATGAAATCTATCTCCCGCGTGTCACTAAATTTGCAAATCCAATATTTGTGTGGGAAATAAAAAACTTCAAACCAGTTAAAGCTAGATCAAGATGGTAACTTACTGTTTAGTTTGACTCCTCTGGGTGTAGAAGCAGACAATGCAGTGGTTGAAGCAGCAACATCTGAAGCCAGATGAGTCATCTCAACTGAGCAATCAAATGACTCAGTTGGATTCTCAACTTTTATTCTGAAAGCTATTAAGGCATCCATTTGCTTGTCTAATGCAACTGCTTCCTTCATTACTTCTTCCACTTTTGACTTATAGAACTTGTCCACTTTGTTAAACTCATCATCTAGCCTCCTAAAGTACATTAACTCGTATTCTCCACCTTCTTCTGCAGCCATAAGAAAAGTAGTTTCATATTTTTCATAACCATCTTTCACCACTGAGTTCACCAAAATGGGTTGGTGGTCAATGTCATGTTCAGAGGGACTCAAGGGTTGGTAGTGTTTCTGTGTGAGACCACTGAAAGCTCTATAAAGTGAAAGCTTTCGTTTAAGACCTCCAGGGTTAACAGTTGTGCCATTGGGGTGTGGCCTGTTTCTTTGCTTCTTGTGTAGGATTTCTTTCAAAAGAGCTTTTAGATAACCATAATCCATGTATGCTTCTTGCCATTCTGGCACCATTTGTGCTGTAAATTCTTTTCCAAACTTCATTTTTGGCTTTTTGGGTATTTGGTACTAAAGCACACAAGCACTTGGTTTTTTGCTTATATGACCAGCTCAGGCAATAATAAGAGTGAATGAGCAATGACAAGGAAATAATAATGGATAAAACTGGTTGCCAAAAAGAGAAAAATGCTTTCTTTCAAGCTTCGGCTCATGTTTGCAATATGGAATCTTGAGAAACTTTTTTATGAAGAAAGGTGGAGTCAGCATTGTCCTTCTTTTCCAGAGCCAATGGCAGATAAAAGGTGTCTTATTTATCATGCTGAAAAAACAGAGTGAAATTGGGTTTGGTTTGGTTCTTCTTGCATTATGACAAATAAATGGACCTCACTTTCTGCATTAGTGTACCTCTGCTTAAGTGGGACAATGTATGAAAGGGAGAGGCCCGAGTTAAAGCTTGACAGGCTGTAAACCAAGGTACGAGGGGTTAGTTTAAATCTTTGAAGACTAAGCCAATATGAATTAGATTAGTTTGATGATAGAAACTTAGGTGAGATTTATTAGATTGAGCCATGAATATTTGTTAGAAAATATTTAAGTGTGAGTAATGAATGATAAAGTATTAGGTGCATTAAAAATGAATTAAGAGAGCATTATGTAAAGTTGTGTCATTTTAAATGAGAGAAAAAGATAAATTATAAGGAGATAGAGTGGACAAAAAAAAGAGTAAAGGTGTGGATCCCACCTCTTAAATATGTAATTTAAAAGGACAAATATTTTTCTTATATAAATGGAAAAAAAATATGTAAGTTTACACGCTTGTTTGAGAGTTACTTTTAGGAGGGAAAGAAATGAGAAGGAATGACTTTATTAATTCCTTCTATTGTTTGTGAGTTTAAAAAAGTGAGAGAAAGAATTTAGAGATTCTCACAAAATCCTCCAAATCTATTCTTATTCTTAAAATTAAAGTTTTTCCAATGTGAGGGTTTTAACTCTCAAACAAGGGGAGAGAATACTCTTCATTTCTTTTTCCTTCCTTTCCCTCCTATTTCTTGAATTCCTTTCCTTCCCTCCACTCCAAACTTTCAAACAAAATCTTAGGGGATGTTTGGTAGAAGGTTTTTTTTTAGGATTTCCGAGAAACTGAGGTTGGTAATCTTATTTACCCATGTTTTGTGTGAGATTTTTAATTTTTTTTCGAGAATCTAATTTTCCCAGAATTTTATTTTGTGTGTTAAATTTTCTAAAAAGACCATCCTAGAATACCATCTAGGATTCCCATAACAAAGTAAAATTTAACACAACCAAACATAACATCAAAAAAGTTAACCAAACATTTTCAGAATATTTTAGCCTACCAAATAACTTTTTGATAGGAGTGTCAAAACGGGTCAACACGACATGAATTTGACACGACACAAATACATCAACACTAACACAACACGAACTTTTATTCGTGTCAAAATCTTCAACACTGACACGACACGAATTTTTTGCGGGTTGACACGACACGACACGAATAACACGCAAAATAGGGGTCAAAATGGTAATTGACAAAAAAAATTAAAAAAAAAGGATCGATATTAAAAAATTTAAAAAATTTAAAAAAAAAATTTTAAAAAATACGGGTCGACACGAACACGAATACATCAACACTAACACGACACGAATTTTTATTCGTGTCAAAATCTTCAACACTGACACGACACAAATTTTTTGCGGGTTGACATGACACGACACAAATAACACGCAAAATAGGGGTCAAAATGGTAATTGACAAAAAAAATTTAAAAAAAAAAGATCGATATTAAAAAAATTAAAAAATTAAAAATAAAATAATTTTAAAAAAATACGGGTCGACACGAACACGAATACATCAACACTAACACGATACGAATTTTTATTCGTGTCAAAATCTTCAACACTGACACGACACAAATTTTTTGCAGATTGACACGACACGACATGAGTAACACGCAAAATAGGGGTCAAAATGATAATTGACAAAAAAAAATTTAAAAAAAGGATCGATATTAAAAAAATTAAAAAATAATAATAAAAAATTAAAAATAAAATAATTTTAAAAAAATACGGGTCGACACGAACACGAATACATCAACACTAACACGACACGAATTTTTATTCGTGTCAAAATCTTCAACACTGACACGACACAAATTTTTTGCGGGTTGACACGACACGACACGAATAACACGCAAAATAGGGGTCAAAATGGTAATTGATAAAAAAAAATTTAAAAAAAGGATCGATATTAAAAAAATTTAAAAAATAATAATAAAAAATTAAAAATAAAATAATTTTAAAAAAATACGGGTCGACACGAACACGAATACATCAACATGAACACGACACGAATTTTTCACGTGTCATTTTTCCCAACACGAAAACGACACGAATTTTTTTGCAGGTCAACCCAAACACGAATTTCGTGTCGTGTCACGGGTCGACCCGCGTGTCAAAATCTTTATTGACACCCTTATTTTTTTGATAATATTCTCAGAAAACTCATTTTTTACCATATTTCTTGAAATTGTGGTTTTTGGATAAAAAAAAATTCTTGTCTATCAAACACTCCCAAAAGAGAAGTGAGTATTATATTTACAGGTGAGCCACTTTGCTATAAAATAATGTATCGCTTATCTTACTATCCTCGTTGTTGTACATCAGTTCTTGTCCATTTGCATTATGTAATTTAAAGTGCACTGTAATCTTAAAATACTCACATTTAAAAATACATGCATTTTCATTTATGTACTTTACAAATAAATTCACTAGAGAATTCTTTTATTAATTTCTTATGTCTTGGTTGGTAATTGACAAGTCAATAAGTTCTTCCTGTCATTTTAGAAGCTAGCTAGCAGGCTATCTAACTCTCAACAGCTACAATAATGAATTGAACACTTCTCTTTTTATTGTATCAACGGTGGGTCATCTGACCTAAAACTGCAAATTGCAGCAAATCAAAGAAGTTGGACAGAAAGTATCTCAATAAATTTTTTACTTCTAAGTTAAAGAATATTTAACTATAAATATTGTATTGTGAATCAAACTGATATAAAATTCTACAATATATAGAGATTCTAATGAGTTTAAAGAAAAAGTTCAAAGCTAATCAAAATCCTAAAATAAGGAAACAAATATTTACACACAAGAATGTAAATACAAATAATATTTTTATTTCTAACACTCCCCCTTAAGCTGATGTGTATATATCATAAGCTCTCAGCTTGTTACATATGCAATTTATTTGGAGACCTCTAAAAACCTTGGTAAACACATCTGCAAGTTGATTATTAGAATTGACAAATACTATCACGATCTCTCCTGATTGAATTTTTTTTCGAACAAAGTGACAGTCAATTTTTATATGCTTAGTCCTCTCATGAAAAATTAGGTTAGAGGATATTTACAATGCGGCTTGACTGTCACAAATGAGTTTCATGAGCCGTTGTTCACAAAGATGTAGTTTCTTAATCAATTATCTTAGCTAGAAGAGCTCACAGGTTATATTTTCCATTGCCCGATATTCTATCTCTGCACTTGACCTGACTACCACAATTTGCTTCTTACTTTTTCAAGAGATTAAATTTCTTCCAAGGAGAACACAATACCCCGAAGTGAAGCGTCTATCTGAAGAAGAACCTTCCCAGTCAGTGTCTGAATAGCTACACACATTTGTATTCCCTTTATTTGTATATAATAAACCTCTTCTTGGTATTCTTTTGATGTATCGGAGAATCCTGACAATTGTATCTTAATGAGAGTCACAAGGAGAGTCAAGGAATTGACTTGCCAAACTAACTGCAAAGAGATGTCCGACCTTGTCACAGTAAGATAATTCACTTTCCAAATAATATGCGATAACGTTTAGGGTTTGCCAATGGCTCCCCCTATCAGGTGATAGCTTAACATTAGGATTCATATGTGTATCAATGAGCTTATATCCCAACATACCAATCTCATGTAGGATATACAGGACATACTTTCTCTGACAAATGGAAATGCCCTGCCTGGATTATGCCACTTTGATCCCTAAGAAATAACGAAGTCTACCAAGGTCTTTGGTTTGAGATTGACTAAATAAGTACTTATTTAACTGATCAATCTCAGCATGATCGCTACCAATAATAATGATGTCATAAACATAGACCAGAAGGTAAATGCATTGATCAGAAGAGCTATGTCGACAGAAAACAAAATTATCGGCTTCGCTTCGGGTTAAACCGAAGGCTTAAACAGAGAAACTGAAGCAACTAAACCAACCCCGAGGAGACTGCTCCAGGCTATATAAGGATTTATGAAGCTTACATAACATTCCAAAACACTCCCTCTGAGCAACAAAATCTTGTGGTTGCTCCATGTATACTTCTTCTTGCAAATCACTATGTAAGAATACATTTTTGATATCAAGCTGAAGGAGGGGCCAGCGATGAATGACAGTAAGTGCAAGAAAAAAACGAACAGAAGCCATCTTGGTAAAAGAAGAGAAAGTGTCCACATAGTTAAGGGAAAAAAATTTGAGTGTATCCCTTGGCTACTAAGCGAACTTTGAGGTGGTGACAGTGCCATTAGGACCAACTTTGACTGTAAATACCCATCGATAATCGATAACTGACTTCTCGAGAGAGTACGAACAAGATCTCATGTACCATTGGAGTGAAGTGTCATCATTTTGTCAATCATCGCTTGGCGCCAACCTGCATGACATAGTGTTTCACCTATGGTCTTAGGAATGGAAATAGAAGAAAGACTAGAAACAAAGGTAAATTATTGTGAAGAAAGTTAGTCATAACTCAGGAAAACATAAAGAGGATGATGGTCGCGAGTGGATCAGATACCTTTGCGACGGACAATGAGAGTAATCTTTGATGGAGGATCCAGAGGGAAAGAGACAACCGTTGAGGGCGGTGAGTAAGTTGGAATAAGGTCTGCAATAGGGCCGACACCTGCAACTAGTAAAGATAAATCAACAAGAGGAATAGAAAGAATATGGTCAATATGTGACACTGAAGTTTGGGAACTAGAGA